AACAACAGAGTCACATTGCCCGCAGGTTTCCAATTTGTTCCCACAGCTGATCACTGTGGACAGACCACTTTCCCTCCATGATCTCATCTAGTGTAATGTGTGGTTTTCATAGAACAACCTTTGCAAGTGATCCTGCGAACCACAGTGTGAGTCACAGGGGCAGATTCTGTATACTGTACACTGGAACACCGGAGAAAACAGAATCTCATGCTAAAAGATGGAATATTGTGTGTGTGTTTTTAAAAAAATGCTGTAAAGCCCAAACATTTTGGTTTGAAATCCTTTCGTCCCCCAAGACAATTCAGTTCATCTGTTTCTGTCACTAGGTAATGCTATTTTCATGTGTGCGCTCTGGAGTGTCTGCTTTTGATGCCACCAGGCAAGGGCATGAGAAGGAAAGCTGTATACTAGGCATGCTGACTTAGGGGGAAAATCCTGGGCTGCGCCCCCCCCAAAAGCAGCTGCTCCCAATTCTGCATTAGAATTTATGTGCAACAGAATCAATGGCTTCCAACCTACAATGCATCACCAACTGTTTTCTCAGCTGATGCACTACTGATGCTTCAGTAGGAGGACCCCCATATCCACTGAGGGTTTGTTCCAAGGCCCCACGGGTACTGAGAACCATGGATAATAATGAACACTATATATGGGGGGAGGGGTAAAAGAAAAAATCCCAGAAAATTTATTTTCACATGCATTAAAAGAACTGGCCACTAGATAGTGCCAGAGACCATGCTATGTAGTCTTCACTAACAAGTATTCATAGGACCATCTCTGGCTCCCTCTAGTGGGCAGTTCTGGTAATCCAGGTGAAAATTATTTTTTCTGGCCTTTTTTCTTTTAATATTTTCAGGCGGTGGAGTCCTACTGAACAACATGGAAGAACAACATCGAACAGCGGCAAAGCAAAGATGTGGATTCAAACCTGGGTGGTGTGTGGCTATGATGTTTAGAGGAGTGTCTCTGGGCATATCCGTCTGCCTGCCACCTGCCTGCCTAACCTTGCTTCATATCTTCTGGGAAACAAGTGCTGGGTAAAAGCATAATGAACTGATAAATAAGTAAGGGTGCCCCCAAAGGACGGTGGATGCCTTCTGTAGCCATGCAAGAGGCACCTTCATTGAGTCAAGTTACGCGGACAGCTGAAGCAGAGGAGCCACCAAGGCGGAGAATGCCATGCTGGGGCAAGACAATCAGGGCATCTCTGTCAACCCTTTAAGCCTGGTGGGGAACAGCTGAGCTTGGCATATAGCACATTCATGCACCTTATACGAGTAACTCATTCCTTCCTCCCTCTCTGCAAGCTACCTTTGAGAAAGCTCCAGTTTTCCACTGGAATCTGCTGGAAACCAGCCACCATGGCCTTGCTTAGGGAAAGTACGAAGTGCTGTACATGTGGAGTTGGGAGGAACAGACAGGAATAAGGCTACATATATACAGTGCATAAAGCAAGCAGCGCTGGACCTTGGCCACTTTGAGGAGTTAGTTCCTCAATTGACAGAGCACACATTCCTTCACAGGCAACTAGAAAGTTTCTGTAGTGAGTCAACTTGGGCTTATACACAGGATTGAAGGACCTGAGAGAAGCGTGCATTTGTTTATCTGTGCCCAGCTGTGTGGTTTGTGGGCAGCCTTACAAGGTCCACAAATCCTTTGGAACAGGGGTCCCCCATCTTTGTCACCCCGCAGACCGGCTGGGGAAGGCAGGGCACTCCCTATGCTCATGCGCATGTGCGAACGAGCGCGTGTGCAAACAGCGGCGCAGCGCTTGCGTGGGCACTCGTGCACATGCGCAAATGGTGGCATGGTGCTTGCACGGGCACCCTGGAGTGCACGTGCATGCGCAAATCAGCTCTACGGGGGTGAGTGCATCTGGGGTGTGTGTTGGGGACCTCTGCTTTAGAAAACACACAGATGGAGTATGGAGGAATGGTACCTCACTCAACTGTGCAGGCAAGATAACCTCTCAATGCTATTCTCATCTTTCTTGTATTTATGATGACTATTTCTGAGATGCATCAGACTGCTAGGCATTATAGAAGAGTTTTTGTGTGTTTGTGTGTGTGTGTGTGTGTGTGTGTGTGTGTGTGTGTGTGTGTGTGTGTGTGTGTGTGTGTGTGTGTGTGTGTGTGTGTGAGAGAGAGAGAGAGAGAGAGAGAGAGAGAGTCAGTCTTACTTTCCAGTTCGTCACAAACTTTCCAAGTTCCCACAATAGCCCCCTGGGGGGGGGGAGCTGCTACCACCACCCGGCTCACCTTATTTGGTGCCCCAGCCCTCCCATGCATGCGGATATTCCCCAGAGGTTCAAGAGGGCTATTACTATAAACAGCTCCTGGCGGCTTCGAGGCATTCCTGCTGCCTTCCTTGGCCAGCTGCCCAGAGCCAAAAGCTCAGGTGTGGCAATCCGGATCAGCAGTGGGGCTGGCAGAGGGACACGCCAGGATCCAGGCTCCACACACACACACACGGTGAGCCAGTGCCAGGGCTTCCAGGATACCCGGCAACAATGCTATCCACACACACTTTTCTTGCCACCAT